TACACCTTACATTTCCAATATATACAGAATAAAATCAAATCACTAACTACAAATTCTAAAGACAAAAAGCCTAATAATGAAACCGTAGACTCACTTGAGGTTGAAAGTTTATTCGCCTACGTCCCAGTCAGGAAAACGATAGATATAATCATGAAAAATATCTACAGCAATCCATTAAAAATTCATCCTAATATTTTAAAGAAACTAAACTTGATATGCACTACAGAAGTTCCTTTCTATGACCATAAAAATAATATATAATGCAATGGTGCGTCCATGGGTTCTGTTCTAGGACCAACATTTAGCAACTTCGACATAACCAACCTAGAAAATAATGTATCTAATACCACAAAAAACCTTCCATTTACCTTAGATATGTAGATGACATTCTCATTTTAGTCAAAGACGCAGACGAAATAGATGAACTGCAAATGAAATTTCAAAAACTCTGTACTAAATTTCACATATGAACTTAGCAATGGCACTAAAATACCGTTTCTTGATTTATTGATAGATACTAATAATGATATATTTACTGCCTCCCCATTTAAAAAACAACTATCATAATCACGTGCACTCTAAACTATAAAAGAGAATGTCCTATTATAAAATAGCTATTATACGAAACTTAATAAACCGTGCGAAGTCAAACTCTTCAACAATAAAGATAAATAGATAGTAATAGTCTGAGATACATAGATAAAATGATACATAGATTGATATGAACAGACTGACACAAATAGGAACTTATACATATATAATTATATATATATTGTTCAAGCATGTTGGTTTGAATAATTTAGACGTATTATGTATTAATTATTTAGACGTATTAGGAAGATTTTCTGTACTGAATTAAAAAAAAATATTAAACAAACCCTCATTAATAATGACTTTACTAATTGCATTGTTGATGAACAAATTAGGCAACCTATTGAGAATATCAAAAATATATATATATATATATATATATATATATATATATATATATATATATATAAATTAAAATGGTAATCCGTATGGAATTACAAAGAGTTCAACGTCCGATACAGAGCAATATATATATATATATATATATATATATATATATATATATATATATATATATATATATATAGTCATCACATACAAGCCCATTTCACTATATCACTGCTCATCAGTGTGGTTGACATCCGATTGCTTCAAGCCGAAACCCGACCGATTTAGCATCAGTCACTGATTCTACACCTAAGCTACCGGCGCAAGGTAAAAAGGATAATTTTAACGTATTATATACGGATTTATACAAACGCCAGCAGCCTGAGGCTCAATCCATTAATGGAGATTGGTGCTTTATATATATATATATATATATATATATATATATATATATATATATACATAACGCACCAGTCTCCTTTAATGAATTGATATATATATATATATATATATATATATATATATATATATATTTCACCTAATAAAGACTTTTGAATGCATCTCGCATATATATATATATATATATATATATATATATATATATATATATATATATATATATATAAAAAGAGAGAAAAGAGAGGGTGAGAGGAAGAGAAAGAGGGAATGAGAGAGAGAAAGTGAATAGGAGTGAGAGATGTTTGGAACACTAAAATTTCTATCTTTCAGAGATGGTTCTGTTTCGTGAGAAGAATATAATAATTATCGCCTAAGGAAAAATGTCAGAAGAGGAATCATTTGTTTCTTTGCGTTTTATTGTTACAAGTCAGATCACAAAATTTTATATTTTCGCCAAAAATAAATGAAAAGAAATAAAACTTAATATGTCTGATTTCGACTTTCTCCATTATCTGAAATGATTACGGGTCAGTCACTTGTAGCGAATATTTTTCACAACGCCGCACAAAAAAGAAAAAAAAGAAAACAAAAAAAGAAAAATGGAAGATGTAGTAACCGTTTGAAAAAAAAAAACAGGAGATCAAAATGAAAAAAACGTTGATTCCGAAAGAAAAGGGAAAAACAAAGAAGATAACATTTTGGAGAGTTGTTTACCGTTTATGCTTGTATCTTGCGTGCGGGTCGATTTTGCATTTGATTCTCTATCTTTGGAAGTGTCAATCCATACAAAAAATATTACAGCATTGCTGCTATATCTGGGCTGGAGCTATCCAATCTTCATTCCCTAACTTGAGAGACTTCAAAATCTTTTACACGGTCTTGTGAGCGACGAATAATTTTCAACCTCGAGATTCTCGATTTTCAAGAGGAAATCGTTACAATGCCTACAAAACGAAACAGCTATCTTTTAATCGCTAGGTGTGACACAAGGTTGGTTTATTGGCGCTGGCGAAACCAAGACAGACGACAGACCAAGCATCCGAGAGCCCGATGCAACCAGGTCTACCTGATCTCGCCTGTCTCAGTCCACGTTGAGCTGCTAGGGAAGTGCTTCTGGCCAAGTGTGTGGGCTTCTCTGTCGCATTTTCACCCCTAGCAAGGCGAGAGTGCCACAAACACACAGCGGATCATAGAGAGTGAAAGTGAGAGAAAAGACTGGGCATGGTAGAGGGGATTGAGGTAAAGATAAAAGATGAAGGGGGATCAAGCTAACAGAAGATGGCGATTGACGTTTGCATTTTTTGTAGATTCTAGTTATCAGGGATGCAAATAAGAGGAAGGGAGTTTCTCTGTCAGGAAGTGCGAGAAAAGAAACTGTTGAAGTGGCGGTTATATTTCACTATTTCATCAGTAAAAGGGTGGGACCTAGATGCCAAACTAGTAGCACGCTCAAATTCACGTAGTCGGAGCATCAGGGAAAAAAGGACGTCAGAGCAGGTGCTATGAAAATATTTCTAGAAAAGGTAAAGGAAAGCCATATCACGTCGGTGAGAAAATGACGGAAGTCGAGATAAGTCAGGATTGATTACATTACAGTATTTTGTCAAGGCCCTTGAGATGAACAGCAGAGGCTAGATATGGCAACAGTATTCAATGCACGGGCGAATGGTAGATTTGTAGGTGTGTAAAATGGACTCTGACGAGAGAAAAAACCTTCTGGCACGACATAGTGAACCGAATTTCCTTGCAGTAGATACAGCTATTGATTCAATGTAATTGTTCCACCTCAAGTCAAAGGAAAACTTGAGGCCAAGATGGCGCAGTGAGACGCTCTAATGATGTTAATAATCAACCATGTTGATGGTGGGGAGGGATGTTTCTCTGAAGTGGTTAAATGAGAGTTGTCCACTAAAATCAAACTTGCACGAATAGGCAGGTCAAACTCTCTTCCATTACAGCATTTTCCACCACCGACTTAGGGAAGAGAAAGGGAACACAGAAAGACCATGATGATCCCGATGAACAAAATACGTGTATATATAGGCCAACGACACAAATTATCACTTTTATGATAGAAAACTAAAATTCTTTAGTGTAGTGAAGGGGTTGCTTCCCGCAGTGTTCTATTCCCCCCCTCTCTCTCTCTCTCTCTCTCTCTATATATATATATATATATATATATATATATATATATATATATATTAAATTTTAAATTTCCATTAAGGAATTGTTCTCCTGATCAATCAAAATTCGCAAACAATTATCTAGGCCACACTACAACTTGTTTGACAGGGAGACTCGCACTACAACTTTCTGACCATAGCTCAATTATGTCTCATTAAATGATCATGGAGACCAACTGGACCCTATTCGTAACATACTTGTTGATAACACAAATATAATAGCATCGTCTCCTTGTAAAAAAAAAGCTAAAAATAATGGAAGCCTAATTAATAAAAACAAAAAATAACAACACTCAGTAATATCAACTATGAACATAGGCACAATATCTTGACCTTGTTTTGAAAATGAAAACATTGTATAAAGAAATACATACAACAATCTATTTCTTGTTAACAGTTAATATATTTCAACCTTGAAAATGACTAAATGTATAGCCGAAAGCGCTCGGAAAGAAAGAACAACTGTACATATTTTATATAATTTATCATCCGAAAATAAAATATTAGATCGCCTGGGAAATTGTATAAAAAAATAAATCAAAGAAACTTGTCTGACATATATTAAATGAAACATCCATATATATATATGATCGAAATAAAAGTATAAAATTTAATATTACAAGACATATTAAAACAATATTAGATAATAAAAAAAAACAAAAAAAAACTAAACAACAGAGAAATGTACAATTCACATTGTACATTTCTCTGTTTTAATATTGAATCTCCCGTGGAAGCCTGACGAGCGGGAGTGAATCCGGTTGCTTCCCCCCACCCTTGTTGTTTAGTTTTTTTTTGTTTTTTTTTTATTATCTAATATTGTTTTAATATGTCTTGTAATATTAAATTTTATACTTTTATTTCGATCATTAAAAACCTACAAAATATCTTTAAATATATATATATATATATATATATATAGTTGTAACAGCAAAATTGTCCAAATCGTGAAACAGCATGGTATAATTGCCAATCCCCCAAAATGTTTAATATCTAAATAAACCTCAAAACTAATTGAATTCCTATTTTACTGGTTTTCAGATTAGATGTTTAGCCATCTTGACACCATTTAAGAATCACTGAAAAACCATTTGAGTTATTCAGCTAGAAAGAGAACCGGTTATGTGATGTTCGTTTTAGTTGCTTCTGCTGTTGAATATATCCATATAAATATAAGTGTATTCAGAACATAGGGGTTTGGTTTACGTATGAGAGCGGTTCTCACAACTTGCATCAGTATTTTGATATCGTGCCAGACATAGGTAGGCTAGCAATAACTATACTTCACTTGATGACTATATGAGTCAAACATGAAACAACAGGTACAGAATGAGTAAGAAATCCAAAAGGAAACGTAAGAGAAAATCATGAACAATTGATAAATGATATTTTTTTATTATGATAAACAGAAATAAATAAGTAAAGAATGAAAGAAAGAATGAAACTGAATGAAAAACTTGAAAATAAAATGGAGAAAGAAAGAAATAGGAAAGGGACATGTTAAAAAAAGGTCAAGAAATGATAAACGAATAAGCAAAAAAAGAAAGAAAAAAGAATGAAAATTGAAGGAAGAAAGGAATAAAAGGACACTGAAAAAACAAAGAGCAAAGATAAAAAGAAAGTAAAAAAAAGAAGGAAACATTTAAGAAGAAAGAAAGAAAGAAAGAAAGAAAGAAAGAAAGAAACTGAATGCATAAATGTGTCTAAAACAAACAAAAAAAAACAAAGAAAAGCGAAAGTAAAACGAGGAAGAAAGCAACAGAAAAAGAACGGTTGAAAGAATTTAATAGAAAGAAAAAAAAACACTGAAAAAAAATGAAAGGAAGAAAAAATGCAGGCACAATGAACGACAGAAAAAAGGAAATAAAAAAAGGTTACAATTGAAGAAATACTGAAAAGAAAGTAAATACAAAAGAAACGAAAAGAAAAATGAAAGAAAAATAGAATGCAAGATAAACAAAAAATGAGAAGAAAGAAATAATGAATGAATGAGTGAAAAAAATAACCGAGTAAAATAAAGAACGAAGGAAAAATTAAAAAAAATAAAAATACATTAAAAAAAACATCAACGACAGAAGTGAGAAAAAAATGAAGAAAGGAAATGAAAAAGCAAGACACAAAAAAGCTAACATGAAGAAAAAGAAAACAAAGAAAGTAAATAAGAGAAAAAAAAACGAGAAATTAAAAAGAAAGCTAAAAAGAAAGAAAAAGGCTAATGGTGGAGGATGAGAGTGTGAAAAGTAAATCAGAATTAAAAAAAAAAAAAGAATAACTTCACGTCCACTTAAAAAAAAGGTTCCAATTTCTATTACATGTCACTTTGCCATCAAAAGCAATTATCTCGCCATAATGTTTGCAGCAATGTTTTTTTTTACATTTTCTGTATGAAACTGCTAATTGTGAATATATAAAAAAACCCAGTATTTCATGGAAGATGGCAATCAAATCGACCCAACCTATCATCGAAATACAGAAAAAGATCTTCATTTGTATTTCATTAACAAAGAGAGACGATTGGAAATAACCAACAAATTTCTCATCTGCCAACTATATAGGTCTTTATGAGCCCCAAATGTGAGTTAAAACATTGTTGTGTGTTTACAGGCTTTCGAATAAAATAATGCGATGATATTGAATAATGAAATAAACACAAATCAATTATATCGTATTATTCATGAAGTAAGAATGAAAGCCAATGGCAAACAGATATCTTTTCAAACCTGAATCTCTATCTATAAAAGGCGGGATGTGTGTGTGTGTGTGTGTATGTGTGTAACGAATTCACGGCGGCAATTTTCAACAAATTTGCACTAAAATTTACATGCACATGCTCAAAGTTAGCGGGAAGGCCAAGACCGACTTTGCATTTCCCACTCCCATTGAAAATGGAAATAATCGATTTTCTCACGCTTCTACGGCAGTTTTCATGTAGTTTGAGGCCATTTTCTACTGACCAAAGTGAGAGCCTATAGCTGGCTGTCACGAATAGGCAGGAAGATTCTATTGGCCAGCGTGAGAGCCAACAGCTTACTGACACGAATGTTAACTACCATGCTAGCATGCAAAAAAAAAAAAAAATCGATAGCTGTATTCGTCCCAAGTGGGAAAAATTTAAATCTGCATGGCACTTTACTCCAATTGGCTCATTCGCTTGCTTAAACTCAACGTTGATTCTGATTCCGCAGAACTGGTTTGGGTGTGAAAAAGTATTTGTTGTTAACATTCTTTTTTCATTCTTATTTTCCAGTTACGAGTCCTTTTTTTTAAAGCTGATCGTTTTGTGTTCATTTTGTTTAGTTCTTTTTTCGTAACAGATTTAATGTTTAGTATAGAGGTGAGAAAAAATTTGCAGTGTGAGATAGGCAAGGAGTAAGGCATGTAGCAACATAAGCACGGCAAAGGGCAATTCTTTAAAGGCAAGGAAGGGCAAAAATATTTTAAGTCAAGTGATAGCGATTGCTGTATGCGTCTTACGATTTTTGAATCAAGCACGGTCAACGCCGGGCCATGCTACTAGTAAGAAACATGTGTATATTTAATTGAATAAGGCTGGTGATCTGGAAACTTCATAGGCTTACTATGAAGGAGTGATGCTAGAGCTGTGAAGTCTCAGATGCATTAATTTCAACGCTTATTAATAACTGCATTGTTCCTTTCCAGGTAGAAGAGTGGTCTGAGAATTTCATACACTGACGATAAAGGAGTTATGCTAGAGCTGTGAAATCTTGCATGCATTAACTTCAACTCTTCTTATTAATACCTACATTGTTCCTTTTCGGGTTAATTTACGTCTGACATGAAAAGTAACTAGTAGCAGCTTCTCTTGAAAATGGACAAGGTTTAGCATTGTGGTGTTATCAAGTACCCGCGGAATAAGTATTTAGCCCCAAGGACATTCATACTGATATGGTTTCTACATTAGGTGATGATGCTCCAGCTTAATCGACGGTACAAACGTGAACAGCTAATTAACAGTTAATTCGTTAGGATTATTGGATTGCGTTATTCTAGTTAGTACTGAAAATTTTTACCAGATCCAGGCTTCCTCTGTGACTGTTACAAGGTTTTAATAGACGTAGTTTATCTGTTATGTGCTCTGGCTATGCCAGCATTCCCCAAACAACCAACCAGGACTCTCCCTACAAATGTTCAAATATGGGGTAGTCCCTTCTTGGAATTCTACCTAGGCTTTTTCGTTCTCCCTTTGTGTGAGTGCCTCTCACCATCATTGTCCGAAGTCCTCCGTTTTCCCTGAAATTCCGCCTGGGCCTTTTCCTCTTTGGTCATTGGATCAAACCAGTCTCCTTACTGCTTTGTGTGAGTGCCTCTCACCATCACTGCCCGAGGGGCGTGAAAAGTCCACCACCTTCCTTGAAATTCCACCTGAGCCTTTTCCTCTTTGGCCACCTGATCAAACCCGCCTCTCAAGGGCTAAGCGTTGTCTAGCCCAAACGGCCAAATTTTAATTATCGTTCAAAATTCTTTCTTATCGTGCTCTTGTGTGCTGTCGTTTTCGCATATGGGATTTATCATTTTTTATTCCATCGTCAATCCTTTCGCCAACAAGTGACAGAAAGGCAACAATCCCTTGATTTGCGAAGTTTTATCGCATTTCCGCAGACAGAAAATTTAATTATTATCCTCTTGTCTATTTTCTGCTTTTAAAAATTAATCATTATCAGTGGAGCGAACTCGTGGCCAGAGGTTCGTTTTCCCCTCTGTCACACAATGTTTTAAAATATTATCTATTTCTTTCCGGGAGGTCCTTGGACCGCCAAGAATATCCCATCACTTAATCTCAGTCCTAACCAAAACTAGACAGTCTCTTTGTTTTACTTCTCCGGCGGACGAGAAATTTAATTACCTTCTATGTTTTCCCCAATAAAAACAAATATACTTTTCTTTCATTTCCCTCATCTGGTCATCGGTATATCTTCAGGCTATCGTAAATTAGTGTTTTTCTGTCTTCTAGTTTTTTCTCAATTAAAAACGAATATCCTGTTCTTTCATTTTCCTTCGTCTGGTCATCGGTATATCTTCAGTCTATCGCAAATTAGTGTTTTTCTGTCTTCTAGTATTTTTCTTATTTACTAGCGCCTTGCCAATCGTGTTACAGATACATCGAAAAGGTTTTAAGAGATCCAGGCTGTTTTTGTTACTGTTTTGATATGTTAACAAATCCCGTTTTAAAACATCTAGTCTCTTTCTGTTGCTGCTAAACGTTTTAAAGAACCACTTTTAAAAGATGCTGTCTTTTTTGTTGTTCCTGCTAAAACTTTTTTTCTGTTTACGGCTAAAAACATGTAACCGATCCAATATTTTTCTGTTGCTACTAAAAAATTTAAGGGTTCCAGTGTTTTTTTTTTTATTACAGCTAAATTTTTAATAGATTCAGACATTTTTTGTTGCTGCTAAAACATTTTAACAGATCCAGACATTTTAACAGATCCAAGCATCTTTGTCGCTGCTAAAACGCTTTCACAGATTCAAACATTTTTGTTGCTGCTAAAACGTTTTAACAGATTCAAACATTTTTGTTGTTGCTAAAACATTTTATCAGATCCAGGCATTTTTTCAACGGATCCAAACATTTTTTGTTGTTGCTAAAACGCTTTAACAGATTCAGACATTTTTGTTGTTGCTAAAACGTTTTAACAGAACCAGTCATTTTTGTTTTAACAGATCTAGACATTATTGATGTTGCAAAAACTTTTTAATAGATCCCGACATTTTTGTTGCTGCTAAAACATTTTATCAGATCCAGGCATTTTTGTTGCTAAAACGTTTTAATGGATATGAATTTTTTTTCTGTAACGGCTAAAACATTTTAACACGCCCAATTTTTTTTCTATTGTGGAATTGCTTACTTTTAATAATCTTCTATTTGTCGTTTTTTTTATATATTTTTATTAAACGTTGTTTAAATTATCCTTTTTAAATGATAATTAAATTAGATAAAAAAGTTGACTTAAATTAACATTAAAAACAGCATTATTTTAATTGCAGAGATATTTAAATTAAATTTATATGTAAACATTTTGTTAATTCTTATTTGAAATTTTTTTCGCCAAAAATGTGTCCTTCGATATGGCATCGAGTGCTGGACAATTTCACAACCGATGAAGTAGAAAATTTAAGCAACAGAAATGTGGTTCGACAATATGGATGTTCATGAGGAAATAGACTGGACATGGGAGCAATAACGGAGTTTTAGAAAATATGGAAGTAGAAAGAACTTAACATCAGAAAATGATAGCTGAAATCTCTAGGAAAAGAGGGCTAAGAAGATTTGACACAGGACATATTGAAGGCAAAGGGGTACAGAGAGAAACAGCGCATAACTTACCTAATTAATTTGCGTAAATTGTTTGCAGAACAGTGTTTAGGAAAGATAGCAAAAAAAAAGAAGAAAAAAAAAAGCGATGTACGAAGATTATAAACGATAAGAAATTGTAGAGAGATCGCCAACTTCTTGTATGGACATGGAAAATAGAAGGATATATAATTTTTCTGGCTGAATTTTATTATTATTGCTGATGTGACATTAAATAAACAATTAAAACTCCTCATCAATACTGATAACACAATTATCTAATCCTGCCTTAATAGTAAATCTGATCGGTTCGTTAAGGTCATATTAGCACCTGATCTAAAAAATTAACCTCATTTATTATTGTTATATAGGAATAAAGTGTCGCTGCCGACACTTGAATTTGAACATAGATCACCAGTGAACAAACACAGGCGTTCCCATCATTGAATTAAGTAGACCACGTGACCATAGAGGAAAGGCATATATGGGAAGTAGTCGCGTGACGTCTAATTGATCGTGTTTCTATTCTCTCCTCTACTACTCTAAGGACCGCTATTCTCTACTCTGTTCATTATATTATTTCTACTATTCAGATCACTATACGGGTTACTTGTCGAGCGAGTATTATCGAGGAAGTACTATTAGTGTGGATGTTATTCGAAGGTATCAGACACCAGCATTGCTTAATGATGTACTATAGTTGTATCTGCGATTACAAAGTCTCTACTACAACGAGCATTACGAAAGTGGCAACGAGTATTCGTTGGCATAACAAAAGTGGCAACGAGTGTTCGTTGACATCACAAAGTTTATTAAGTGGGGTAAGGAATGGCTTGTTTATTTTAACACATATCAAAACGAAACTGCTATCTTTTAATTGCCTAAAGGGACCCTTTTTGTCTTCAATTAGCTTGGCTTCCGCTTTTTCTTTCACGTGTTTAGCGTAGATGGTTGTCGCATCATTTTCTGCTGATGGGTTTTCTAGGATATCAAGCTCTTTGTTTCAAAGCACACCTTCTTCTTCGTCTTCTTCTTACTTTATTATTATTATTATTATTATTATTATTATTATTGTTGTTGTTCTTCTTTGATTTCTGATGTGTACTCATTTATTTCCGGGTCCCGCCCAGAGCCCTAAGGTTAGAAATGGCATCATGACATTTTCCACTGTAAAAAGAAAAAAAAATCATAGACCAAGCCCTTCGTAAGGTGTAGGCTGTACTCGTGAGAACAATTTTGTTTGTATTTCTTTAAGGCATAGGCTTCCAGAGATCCCTTCAATTAGTCTACTGGAATCTTTTCCAACCAATCAGAGGGCTCCAAATACAACGGGGATTGTTGATGTTCCCATGTGTCACATTTCTGAGATTTCGATTTTAAGGTCCTTGTATTTGGATAGCTTTTTGAAGATGTTCAAACATGTATTGCAGTCTGCAGGTACTGCCATATCAATAAGTTTTTATTATTATTATTATTATTATTATTATTAAAAGTGTTGTAGCTGAGATTCTATCTATCAAGAAAGAGTGAAGACAGATCAAGGATTCATCCCTGTATATTCCTATCATTTCCTTATTAAAGAAAAGGGAAATTACTTTGTCAATAGCATTTTGTAGATCATGAGTTATCTCTAATTTTACGGTCCTAAATTAAGTAGATGTAGCAATAAATGGCCATTATATTTTTGTTCGAGGTGTTTGGCGTTTTCGCTTCACTTTTTGGTTGATGATGGGTTTTCTAAGTTTGCTTCTTTCTTCCTTTGTCTTCCTTTCTTCTTTTGTCTCCTTCATATTATTATTATTATTATTGACGGCTGACGATGGAAGGGTATCACACGTGCTTTCACTCGTTATAGAAAATTGAACAACAAGTCTTTCTGGAAGGTAAGGTGACTCTTCGGAAAGACGAAGTCATCCCCGGAAAGTTGGGGTGGCATCCTGGAAAGAGAGGGATACCAAAAGCTACCCGTCCAGTGGCAAAAGCTGCTGGTGGCGCCAGGGGTGACAGTACCGCCTCAGCCACCGAAACTGTTTTAGCTTCCATGGTTGGTGGCTGATGATGACAGGGTATCACATGTGGTATGTAGGAAAAAGAACTTATTATTGTTATTATCATTATTGTTGTTGTTTTTAGTTTAATGAATTGAGTCTCGGACTTAATCGAAGAACCGAGTTTGAATTCTAGTCGAGTCCCATTCATTTACGTGCTTGGAAAAGGTATGAATCCATCTCTTCTCTACCCAGCTATGGGTAAATATTGAGTTCGATAGCCTTGGTTGGTAGCCAGTCTAAGAGAAGGAACACTCTGAATTCAAACCAGCCTGAAGAGGGTTGGGCTCCGTCAAGTTATTCGTCAGTACAGGTGTTGTCTCTAAGACCCTAAAGGGTTACGGAAGTGGTAATCGTGAAGTACACCTTTCTCCAAAAAATAAATATTTATCCAAGCAGAATGTTGACAGGCTATCATGCTTAGAATAAGAAATCCAATATCTTTTACGCTTACGCTTTATATGCCTCATTCTTTTAAAAATAAGGAAACCCAAACTCAGTAATTACTTGAAATAAAAACAAAATTAGGAGTAAAAATTGGGTATGTCCACTATTTCGGCATAAATTTTCTATATTGAAGTTTAAAATGAATTTTTTACAATGAAAAAACATTCTTGAAGATTTCATTTAGCTTTAATTGAAAGTTTAATAACCTAAATTTACGATTTCTATTAATTAAACAATTCTGGTGTATTTCAGATAGAAACTATATACATTTGATTGTCAAATTTAATTTCAAATTTTTAATTTTCTTAAAAACGGCCATTTTCTTAATTTTAAGAAATTTGTAAACAAACACAAATTTATCGATTTTAAAATATTTAAAAAAAATTCTGACACGTTATTTTAGTAAAATTAAAAAATTAAAGTTAAAAGTAATCTGATTTCAAAAGAAATCTTTTGTTACTTATAGCATAAAAAAAATA